GCTGAGCGGTGAGGAGAGAGAGACGCTCGGTCAGGTTTGATTGGCCATAGTTCTGTGACATCGGCTCCGTCCTCCGCCCCCACGCCTGAAGTGCTTCTTTCACTTCTCCCCGGTTTCCCCGCTGCCTCTGCCCGGGAGAGCATGGGGGGACCCAGAGGAGAAGCTGAGCCCCCGTGTGTGTGGCCGAGTGGGCAGAGGATTGGTACATATCAGTGATATGTACCAATCCTAAGTGCAGGACAAACACTGGAACGATCAGCTGATCACTCCAGTGTATGTAAATAACTGGGGACACATAGTACTTTGTGTCCTCAATTTCTTTTTCTATTTTAAAAGGGAAATATCAGGGGGCTGTTTAGACCCCTAATATTTCCCCGAAGCCCCCAAGTGAGTAAAAAATTAAATTAAAATAAAAAAATAAATTAAAAAAAATTGTAAAAAAAAACGTTTTTTTTTCTTGCCTCGGGCGCAAAAGGAGCTGGCTACGGCTATGGGGAAAATTGTGGGTGCTCGTGCAGCTGTCGGCTGAATGTGTCAGACGCTGCAGATGGAAACGGGCATGACACCTCTCCCCATGTGCAACGTCGGCCACACGAGCACCACAGGAGGACAGGACGCCGGGGCCTCTAGGCAGATTCCCAGGGGTGGGGGTATTGTATTGAAGTCAATGGAACCGCAGCCATGCACCCCGCCCACAGTGCGATCGCCCGCACCCGGATCGCAGGCACATTAGCCTGCATTCCGGTCCAGTGCGATCTGCAAAAATAGTGCTCGCAGCATTTCTGCGGATCGCACTGGACTGGAGAGCAGGCACTAATGTGCCTGGGTTCCGGGTGCAGTCAATCCCACTGTGGGCGAGGGGCCTGCCTGACAGTGTCAAGCACTGTCCTATAGACATTAAATAATTGAGAGCAGAGCTGGTTATTTACATTAAAGAGTAGGTGTTATTTTTTCCCTGGACATTTTATTTAATTTTCTCTATTGTCTTGTACATTGGTTACACTAATTTATTTGAATGCTGTGCACTTCCAATAAACAATTACCTTTAGTTATGGCCATACACTGTTAAAATTTTGTTCGCTCTAAATCATTTGTTTAGTAATTTAGTTTAGTTTATGTGTAGTTTAGTTTATTAATTTAGTTTATGTGTACAAATGGACCTGCGCTATGGTGATAGTGGTACACCCAGCTGCTGTTTTCAATTTGTATGAAATACACACAAATTAGCTCAATGAAATCCAAATTACAGAGATTTTATTTTCTAGCAGATATTTATCAGTTTATTATACCCCACATTTGAATGTAGTGGTTTCTGAGAAAACTGCATCAAAGACAAAACTTGTTAGATTTGTATCACATTTTATACAGATCATTCACTTGAGCACAGTGTAATTTGGATTTCATTGAACTAATTTAGTTTAAAAGCCCTTAGAAATGGTGTCCGAACCTACCACTTGAATGGAATCCCAGATGTATTAAACATCTTTCTTTTGTAGCTAGCACATGTGCATTATGATATGTACAATTTTTCTGGACGAAGATCACATTCAAAGTTACAATTTCTTTGTTCAGATAAGTAACAAGAAAAAGATTTCCATCCTGCATCTTCAATTTTCCTTATCACTATGAATGTTGATTAGACCTCATTCTCCATTAGAAAATTGAACAAAAGTTCCAAAAAGAAACATTTCTGAACAGAATTCTACTACTAGCTTATGAGTTTAGGCTGAACAAAGAACCATGATAAAATGCAACATGATATATATGGGGATAGCTCATTTTAACAATATACAGTCTTTTTAAATAGATATGTGTTAATATGATTAGCTTAATGTAATTAATCATAGTAAGGTGTGCTAATCTTTAAAAACCTTTGTTCACTATGTATAGTTTTAAATGGGGAAGCCACAACAGCACATTAAAAAAAATTGTCCTCGTAATATAGAAGATTGTGGTTCCTACTAAGCACGAGTGATGGAGTATAACTGTTGCTCTCTCTCAGTGCAAATACAGAAGTTGGCCCAATCTGAATGAAAATGGCAACTTCTCGGAAATGGCTTCTTAGTCTGTAGGGATGGTTCCTACATTGTCTGTTATCTTTTTGGACAGACACAGTCTTCCTACATATATACTGACATTCATAATAAGCCTATTTAATATGTGATTTTCTTTTTCATATTCAGTTGTTGAAGCTTCTGAAGGTTTTCTTGATCTGCAAAATAATAAATGTTTATTTAAAATTTATGTGTGTTTGCACAAGGAACATAATGGTGACATATGCTATTGTACTTTAATCCACCTAAAGCATAATCAGTGTGACATTGTTTAAGTGAAGTCAGTAGTTTTATGCATAATGAAATAACGTGGCCATTTTCTTACCTAAATTTTTACCCCTTAAGGATATTGATCTTTCTCGACCCCACCCACCCCACTCCTATACTTTCCAACTTTCTGAGATGAGAAAGAGGAATGCAACTGACACACTCACAACAACCCTGACAAAGTGTATCATGAAGAATAATAAGGTAGTCCGCTAAAGCCACGTATGCATTTTTAATCACCATCATTTCTTTACAGGAGCATTTCAAGTTAATCCATGCAATCATTTTCAGATTGGAGGGAAAAATTAGTGTAGAGTAGTAGAGTTGAAACATAGCACCCTCACTTA